CAATGCCACATAGAGGGGGAGGATCACCTCCCTGGACCTGCTCGAGATGCATCTGTGGATGCATGACAGGATACGGTTGGCCTTCCTGACCGTGTCCCCACACTGTCGGCCCATGTTCATTTTGGCATCCTTTTCTGCCTCTACACTAACGAGAAGGGAGTTCCCCAGCCTGTAGGCATGCTGCTGGTTCTTCCCCCCCAGGTGCAGTACCCTGCACTTGTCAGTGTTGATACCCATCCTGTTCTCATCCGCCCACCCCTGTAACCTGTCTAGGTCTGATTGCAGCCTATTCCTCCCTTCTAGCATGCCTACTTCCCCCCACATCTTAGTGTCATCTGCAAATTTGAACAGGGTGCTTTTTACCCCCTCGTCCAAGTCGCTGATTAAGATGTTGAACAGTGCGGGCCCGAGGACCAAGCCCTGGGGGACCCCACTGCCCACATCCCTCCAGGTCGAATAAGACCTGTCCACCACCATTCTCTGGGTGTGACCCTCCAGCCACTTAGTGACACAATTGACTGTGTAAGTGTCAATGCCACAGTCCCCTAGTGTTTTAACGAGAATGGGGCGAGAGACAGGCCAAAGGCCTTCCTAAAGTCAAGAAATAGTACATCCACTGCTACACCTGTGTCTGAAGATTTGGTGACCTGGTCGTAGAAGGCCACCAGGTTGGTCTGACAGGACCTGCCTCTAATGAACGTATGTTGGTTGCCCCGAGCATAATCTCCCCTGCTGGCCGCTCGCAAACATGTGCCAGGATAATTCTCTCAAAAAGCTTACTCAGGTCAAGAGTCAAGAATGGCAGGGTGACCAAGAGAAGAAGAGAGAAGTACGAGCTGTGTTGTACAATTGTAAATCTATTACCCCTGTCCCACAGCATTAGTGTTTGCTTGGGACATGACCACATGGTAAAATGCATTCCTACTAGTCGAGCACAGCAAAATTTTACCCATCCCATTTTATGAGTAATTTAAATTATTAACAACTGACAGCTACTGGATAAGCAGAATGGAATTTATCTAGTTACACTTTATGCCTAGCTCTGTAAGTTTCCTACCAGTAAATTAATTTAAATGTTTCCAATTTCCAAATGCTTGGGGATCTGAAAAACTGCCTAAGGTCAATCTTTTCTTGTCTCTCTCCTGTTCCATCAGCTGCTAATGCAGCAACAGGCTAATCCTGGAAGAGGAGCACCATGCTAGCACTTTGTCAGGATCAGAAAGGAATGGTATGTGAAAAATCTTGGCAAGGTTAGAGTGCTCTCTGGGGCAGGAACACGTTTTGTTTCTGTATGGTAGGTAGTACAAAGGGGTCTTGGTCCATGACTATGTTTCCTTCATGCTAGTTATGTAAACACAGCTCACTTTGGAGAAGGCTTGTGACACCTGTCCATCCATGATGTGGTTACCGCTCAGCTCACTTTTACATTCTCTGTATTACAATTCATCCCTGTCCACACCATGTTAGGTCCTTAAAACAAAAGATATACATACAAAGGGCCACCCAAAGAGGGTCTGGGTCAAGCCATTTCTGTGTTCTGCTCCTAATCCATTCTCTCTTCCTTCTTGCCCTCTATTCCACTAACCTAAACTAAAATAGGGTCATGCTAAATAACCCCATCTTTAAGGTAAAAATCTGACTGCTATGCTACAAATAGGCATCACATTTGACACAGAAGAAACCATATTACCTGAGACAAAGTGAAGTTGTTCAGATGTCCATTGTCCCAGGACAAACTTTAAAATGTTTCACAGGGTAAGAAATACTGGGCATTTTTACACATACAAGCGCCCGGCACTGTGATGCTTGCAGTTGTATAAGCGGCGAAATGCACATCAGCACTGAGAAAATGGCGGCAGTGCACTTTTGAACTAAACCACATTGGAGGTGTTTAAGTTCAAAAGCGCACTCCCTAGCCTTAGATATTCAAAGAAAGTGGATCATATATGAAAACTTCAATTCAAGATAATATGCTTCTGTTTAAGTCAAGTCTTCTTACAAGTCTGGGACAAGTCTTTTATGCTTCATTATAAAACTGTCAGCTATTATTGAAAGCATCACAGATGAAAACTTTATTTGTACCTGTAAGTATTGTCTACAAACTGCCTGCAGCTGGTCTTCTGTGATAATCTCAGATTCTTTATTTTCTTTGATCTTTTCTCCCATTATAAACTCACGTGATCTATATGTAAAAGAAACACAGTATGTTAGAGACCAGTGCTTTCAACAAAAGCAATTAGCTTCCAAGCCAGTAGGACAAGAATATTTTTACATGTATGCACCTGCAAATAAAATCTCCACCTTTTTTACTTTTATGCTGCCTGTCCAGTCTGTGCACATTTTATTCATTTGCATCCTCCCTGAAGTCAGATCATCTCTTCACTTTTAAAAGTTTTCATTTTAAGTTGTGTCCTATTTCCAGATATATGAAACAGTATTAAACACTGACAGGTATTCAACTTTTATACTAACCTTTATCCCATTGTGACTAGATGTTGCACTGAGGTACAACCTCATACACAAATATAAATAACTAAGGAAGTTTTGCTAGCATTTATGGTGTTCAAACTGTTTAGCACAGATTCTCTGACCAGTAAAGCCTGGGTTGTTACTCACATCACATCAATAGGACCCATGTGTGTATGAAAGGACAAAGATACTAATCACCTTTACCTATTTGAGGAATAAGATATACAGCACTTTTTCAATGAGATGCCAGCAAAAGTACTTCCTAGAGAGGTAGGTGGCTAGAACACTGTCAACTTGAAAGCATGACTACAGCTTCATCTCTGCTGCCATCTTATTTAAAGTAGTGTTCAAAACAAATTTTAAAAACCCAATTTAAAGATTTAACAAATTAAAAAAAATAAAGAGTAGATGGGGCCAACTCTCTTTGGACACTAGGTCATCACTTCAGAGATGTACCTGGGGTCTCTTGAGGTATAGTAGCCATGGTCATAAATCAAGGACTTGTGAACAGCAAATTTGGAACATCCTTAGTCACTAAGTTACAGGCAGTAAAATACCTTCATTTTTAAACATTAAAAAATGTTTTAAACATTAAAAAATATGGCGATATACAAATTCAGTGGCAGGGGGCAGCAGCAGGGAATAAGAGATGCTCTGTTTACCCTTGGAATAACCAGGAACAATGGCCATAAGCTGATAGAGAGCAGATTTAGGCTGGACATCAGAAAGAATTTCTTCACAGTTAGGGTTGCGAGAATCTGGAATGGGCTTTCAAGGGAGGTGGTGTTCTTCCCTACCTTGGGGGTCTTCAAGAAGAGACTGGACAAGCACCTGACTTTTTCCTGCCACTGGCAGGGGGTCAGACTTGATGATCCATTGAGGTCCCTTCCAACCCTAGCATCTATTAATCTAATAGAAGCATTAATGAAAGTTAAAATTATTTTGAAGAGTTGAGTGTAATTACTTGATATTTTTCTTCAGTGTTTTCTCCAGTTTCTTCACCTGGTGCTTATAAAGTTTTAATTCCTGTACAGTTGGTCTGTTGAAAAGAAACATTCTGCATTACATTTCAAGACATCAATAAGGTTAGGCAAAAACTCCACTAGAAAGCTTTGCCAGTAAAACAACGCTGATTTCATTATGGCTGAAGTCTTAGCCTAGGCCATTATAAAAGCAAAAAAGTACCTCTTTTGGCATGAGCTGTATTGACCCTAGGAGGACTTGCTAGTCTAGTAATACTGGGGAACCTTTTATCCTGGAGACCACGCCTTAGGAGTAATAATGCTAATAGTAAAGAGATGGCAATCTTGCAAATTTATTCGGTCCCTCAGCTTAGTGGGGCTTAAGCACACCTGTGTGAGTGACATCTAGATGAACAGCAGGTACCCAAACAGGAAGAACTGTCATACATGATCTTCAGTGCAACTATGGATAGTTCCTTTTACTGCCATTGTCACTGCTTTGAGCAATCTCTCTCAACTATCTCATCTTCTAGGCTCTGCTTTTATTACACAGATGTCTTGGTAAACATCTAGAACTTCAGCTATTTTTTTATAAAGCAGTTACCCCTAAGTGTCTTTAAAACAAATGACTTTACCCTTCTCACCTTGTTTCCAGCTCTTTCTTGAAATTTATATTTTCATGCTGAAGCTGTTCATTCCTGGCTTTCGTCTCAATGAGCTGATTCTGAAAAGACTGAAACAGAGCCTGCATGTTAACTATTTCTATTTTATTTCACTCTCTCAGTTTAAGCACTTATCTGATATTTAAAGGAGTATTTTTCAGTTTTATGTTTTGATAGTACCCAAAAGCCCTAGTGAGAATCAGGGCCGTATTGCTAAACAGGTAAACAGTTAGGAAGACAGTAAAATTGCTCCAAAGGGTATACAATCCCAGACAAACTTGGGAACGGTAAGCTCAAATGCATAAACAACTAGCATTTAATTGTTAGTAGAAGCCATTTTTTCTAAATCTGCACTTATTACATGTACCAATTCCATACCATTAGCAGTGCTCTATAATTAGGAGTAGCATCTAGATTTAAAAATTCCCCCCTGCTTTTTCCTTCTGCTTGAACATGATCTTCATCTTTTTTATATCTCCTTTTGGGAAAAATAATAAACAGGTTAGTTCTTCATGTTAATTGAAATTTAACTAAGAACAGTTACATTAGAAGCCAATAAGAATATAAATTTTAAAAAGCAGGAAAGCAGCATAGTATATCTGTCCACAGACTCACACTCTATTTTTTTTTCCTCAGGCTGTTTCAACCCGAATCGTACACACTATTCATCCAGAGGCAAGCTGAACACAAACAAAATACATCTGGCACTTCTGTAATTAAAATCTCATCTTATTGGCCCTGACTCACAATTACATTCTGGCTTCTTTGCATCACCTGCAGCACAAACAACAGAAGGGGATCACCCAGTGCAGTAGAGCCAACATAGTACTTCTACCTCTTGGACCCTGGCAGAGAAGAGAGAGCCAGGGTAAAAGGAGCACATCTTGAAATGCTTTTCACTTCCTTGCCACAGAGCAGGCTTTGACTAGCAAGAGTCAGATATAAAAGCTACAACAGCCTTTGGGCTACTTTAGTTTATGCCATGGACCAAGCTGGTTGACAGCCACCTACCAGATCTAGGGTCTGCAAAGATGATGCACTTTCATACCATCACTTCCTTCAAGGTCATTTGGTATCAGAGCATTGGGTCTAACGTTCAAGGCTATTATAGTCCCTTGCTGCTTCTGGCAGGCTAGTGCTTTGTGGAATATGCAATGCCTATAGCTTAGACATTTAAATTTTCAAGTAACAGCTAACCCTGAAAGATACTTCGTGCTTCACAAAAAGCTCTGAGTCCCCTCAACTCCCACTGATTACAGCAGGAGTTAAAGGTTTGCTGCACAATGAATGCCTTCCCAGTAAAGTTCATAACAAAATTCCCATCAATTTCAACAAGTGTAATACAACATAGCTTTGCATAGTCTAATTGAAACAGTGTTAATAATTAATGAACTGGTCTTACCTTAGCTCCTTTTTCATCTGATTAATCTGAGATTCATAATAATCAATTAGGCAAAGAAATCTGAGGGGAAAATTATATATTTTAGCCATTCAAAAATATTCCACAAGCTACATAATTTAATGATCAAGGTATTGCAACCAAAGCCAAACAAATATCATGTCTTTCCAAACACTATTCTATCATCACTTGATACAACCACTTTTATCTGTGCTACTTCTCAGATGTTCACTGGACTGACACACAGCAGAACAGGCACAACCTTCCAGGCTACACAAACCAGAAATCTGATCCTTGTGCCAGCCTGAAACTGGCACAGTTAATTCAAAAGAAGTCTGCCCTGTTTGGCATAGCTATAATTAAACAGACCAAGATGCAAATTGAGATACAGCTAAAGAGAGACATAAAAGATAACAAAAAAGAATTCTGTAAGGACATGAGATGATAATGACCAAAAATAGTGCAAATCCCTAAATGAATAGGGAGGCAATGCAGAAAAGGCTGAAGTGTTTCATGTCTTTTTTATTTCAGGCTTCATGGAAAAAACAGGATAAAAAGCCATGATAGCTAGGGAAAGGTTGAAAGAGCTAGGATTAGTTATTTTGGAAAGGAAAATATTGAGGGGGAATCTGGTAACTCTTCAAATACAAAACAGGTTAAGATGGGTATGAAATCTCTGTGTCCACAGTAATAGGCACAGATGGCAACAAAGGAGAGTTTAGGGTAATATTAGAGAAAACTTTCTAACTGTGAAAGTAGTTAGGCACTGGAAGTGATTATCCAGAGAAGTTGCTGACTCTTTTTTCTCAGTATTTTTTTAAGACAAACATTGGCTGAGACGGTTTGGATAAGGATGTTCTTGCCTTGAGTAGGAGACTAGATTAAATGACCATCCAGTTCTATTTTTGAGCTTATGAGCCTTGAGGAAGGCAAAAATCAAGGTAGTGGACATGGTACCAAAGGAATGGGATTGATGGGATGGAGAAAGAAGTTCCATCAAAGCTCTCCCTGGAATATGGAGTAGCCTCTATGAGATACCTGGGATGTGTATTGCTAGGTAGGGATGATGAACATCTATAGAGGCTACTTTGCAAACAGGGCAGTTTTCAGACTTAAATCACAAATACAGCAAACCAGAACGGGACCTATATAGTGCTGTACTTTTAAATGCAACTCCTCCTGGGGATCTCTTCATTCTCTGTCCTTTGCTCCCATCTAGTGTTCAGGGGTTGCAATTATTGTTCTTTATAGAATTACTTATCCAACTCAGGTTTATTATAAATTATTGAATGGATATATGTAAAAAAGGACCCACAAGCACTTCCAGTATCTCTACCCCAACATCATCAAGGATAATCATTTTAAAATGGTTTTTTCATTTTATACATGATATACAGAGTTCTCACTTATGACAATATAGACTTGCTTACTGTTGATCCAAGAGAGATTTGGGGACTCGCTTGCAAAACTGGCAGAACATTTTGTTTCGTGTAGTAATGCGCTCCTGCTCTTCCACCCCAGCCTTGTAGATCTCTTTCTGCAAATGTGCAATGGTCTCTTCCTGTTCATGAAGTTTCTCTTGTTGCTGATGGAACTTGGTCTGCAAACAGATGATGGGGTAATTCTAAAATAAGTGTAATATCAGGCATGGAAAAGATGGGAAGACTATGCTGTATGGGACCGGACAGATATACTAGTTAGGCAGCATGGCTCCGAGACAGCTAAGTTATTACTTCCCACTTGTATTTAGGAGGTGGATGGAAAGAGATGATTTTATCAGTTACTCAAACTCTATCTGTTGAAAAATTCACTGTTTGTAAAAATCATAAATATAGAGTAACAACTTGATGACACAAGCTCTTGTATAATTTTGGTCACTGCAAATATTTCCAAGTATTTCATGAAACTACGCAAAACCATCTACTGTTTCAATCCCTAAATAGTGTATCAGTGTCACCTGTGAAACATGTTGATCTTTCTGAAGCTCTTTCACTTGGTTCTGCTGCTGGCAAACCTTGGCTATAGTCTCATCTTCCAGTTGACAGATTTTGGATTTTATGTTCTCCACAGTCTTTTCCAAGTCATTGGCATGTTGTTCTTGCCGAGATGCTCGGCCACGTTCTAAGCGCACTTCTTCTCTAATTAAACAAAGCAAAGCAAAACAGTGTACTTTGCTATATGTTTAACTAAATACAATGAAGTATTTGTAGTTCTTGAGGCACTGGCACCAAAGATGCTGCACAAGGCATGCAAAGCAACCCATGGCAAACGTGTAGGGCAATTTCAGTGACCAAAACCTTTGAGTACAGGGAGAAGCTCTACGAGCAGAGCAAACTAGCAGAGCACCCTCATCCACAAATCCCAGCTTTGCCCCTTGCACAATGTTTAAGAAAATGGCCTTAAGTTATGACCAAAAAATTTCAACACTTAGAAAATGAATTGTTAAACTCTGACTTGGTAGTTGTTCAGGAAACATACCACTTGCATAAATAATCAGGGATCTGTGTTCATAAATAGCTTCCTTCCATCAACATTCTTACCTAAGTTGACGATTAGCCTGTATAAGCCCCTGCATCATCTTCTGTTGTCGTTCTGTGTCTTCTACCAAAGTTTTCAGTGCTAGTCTTATCCCCAGTGAAGAGTGTTTATCTAAAACTATCATATCTGGAGACAATGAAGATAAGATAATGACGAGAGGGTGGTCAGGCATGAGGTATGCACCTCCAGACACTGCTTGTAAAGATGATTTATGAATGCAAAGTTAATATTTTTGTTAATAACAAGAGCTAGTATAGAATGGCACTGCATTACCTGTTAGATTTTTGCTGTTTCGTGGGGTAGCGAGAGACACAGGTTTTAAGCCATGACGCATTAATAATTTGTTTAAGTTTTCCCATTCTGCTTTTTCCTGCTACAATTGGGAGGAGAGAGAAAAGAGAAATGGCCTGAGTTCTGAGCGTTATCTTATGGTACACCGTAATTCTAATAGATCTTCTAATTGAGTACACAGTGCTATACATCCAATACCAGAAAACAACGCAATAACAAGAAGTCAAACTTACAGAACCTTAAAAGTCTCCTGGCTGTTTAAAAAGCCCTCAGTTAGTGTTAACCTATGATCCCCAAGAAACATTAAGTTGTTGGTTCTCATCTTTAGACACAGAGCACCCCTTGGAAAATGCCTGGAAAATGCTCTTAGTTTTCACTCATTTTTGACAACAGAAATATAATAGAACAATCCTTTTGTTGCAAAGAACTCAGAATAACCAAAATAGGTCACGGTGTTTTTAACACTGTGGATTCCTATTTGAAAACTCCAAGTTTAATCTCATATAAATCATGTTTGCATACCTAACAACGCTAACAGTGCACGGCACCCCAAGGCACCATCGAAAGGATCTCAAGGCATGCCAAGGTGCCACAACAAACTGAACAGCCAGGATTTCCATGTTAAAAAAAAAAAAAAGCTTTGCAAAACTGACATGATCTAACTTCTAAAGATACCCCTACCTGGCACCCTGTCATGGTCCAGCTTCCTAATTCAATAGTCTTCTGTGCTGGATGGGAAGTCACAAGCTTGTGGCCTGCTGGAATATTACTTGATAAAGCACAACTTGTTGGGATCTGAAAACAAAAGGAAAATTGGTCCTATCAATGAATCACTGACAGCTCAATTAAAAAATAGCATTTTCAGCTTCTTTTGGATATGGAAAGTATGAAAGCTACTTGTTCTCTTTCACAGAGATGCTGTCTGTCAGTTAGTCAAATTCTTCATCCTTTCCAAAGCCAAGGCCTAAATTTTCTAAGTTTAATGATCAGGTGGTGCTCAATTTCTTGGTGATTGACAAGAAACACCTTAGAAGAGGCCTGACTTTCAGAAAAGCCTATGCACTCACTCTCTAAAAAATCAGGTCCCTTGCAGGTATCAAGTCAGACAAAAAGGAAATTGTCACTATTCCTAATCACGTAAAAATTCAGACCAAAACACCTGATGTGAACTGCATGATGCATCCCACTGTTTATAAACACCTTACATTGAGATGCGCTATAATTTTTAAACTGACACAATTTAATCTGCAGAAAACCCTTGATAAAAGGGCCAAAACTAAGATGGTGGGCACGGGTATCGATGGTTGCCCAACACTTTAGAAAAATCAGGCCATCCTATTAGATACCTAACTATGGACTTAGGAGCCAAACTTTTGCCCCTATTTCTGAATATCTTTCCAGAACTATCATTCAAAATAGGTTTAAGTCTGGCACTTTAAATTTAACAATAAATATTGAAAATATGAGTAACCGCATAACAAAAGCAAAAGGGGAAGAGTATTTCTATCAATATACCACTTTTTTTCCTCTTCTTTCCTGCATTCAATTCTGATGCATCAAAACGCCATAATTATTTCTTGCCTTTACACACAGTAATACAGGGTCAGATCTTTCAGAAGTAAAGTCATTAGACACTGCAAATGCTTTTGAAAGTCACGATCTCCAACAAGGATTTGAATGAGCATAGTGGATGAAGAGGAAATTTATGTTGGAGAATGGTTAGCCTTTTTATATTACAAACAGAGCAGTTGGTAATTGAATTCAGGTCAGACTCGATGATCTAATATGTACCTTCCGACTCTAAGATCTATGAATACCCTTTTTTGGGAGAAGGCAGAACAACTACTAGGGGATCGTGATCTGGTGTGCGTGGTGGAGTCTGGCTTCTTCTAGGATTTTTGTTGTTGTGCAATTGTTTTGCAAACAAATAAACATCAAACAGTGGGCCAACAACATTAGAAATGTTTTTTAATACAAAGCATCCGGTATGTAACCTTCACTTAATCTGCTTGGGGGTTTTCAAGAAGAGGTTGGATAGAAAACTGGCTGAAGTACTATGATCCCAGCACTCGTTCCTGCCTGGGGCAGGGGGTCAGAGTTGAAGATCTGTTCAGGTCCCGTCCAACCCTGGAAACTATGAAACTATAAGAAACTATGAAACTACACCGTACAGCACAACACACCGCTTAGCTTCATTGCTCTACCTCAGCCATAACAAGCAGCTCCTGTGTCGCAGTGCTCACAGACTGGCTGTCACATCCCGCTGCTTTCGTTCGTGACACTGTTTAAAAAATCAGGAAGGAGAAAACCAATGAGTCCGAAAACAACCCCAGGATGGCGACACTGACCCCTGCCGTGGAATGATATTTTGCATGGGCCATCTAAAAAAATTAATAGAGCCACGGTCCATGCTGAGGTTGCAGTTGGTCTGCGAACGAGAATTTGATATTCCTGAAGACCCAGATTTTTTTTTTTAAATGACAAACTTCTGCACAGATTTTCTAGCACGACACGCACGACCCCAGGAGTCAGCAGAGGGGTGTTTCAGGACCACCCTGCAATGGGGCACCGAATAGTTCAGCAGAGGATGCCCAGGAAATGCCTCTTCGCTGGCGCTGGGTTTCTTTGGGCCGTGAGGAAACCAGAGAGCGGCCAAGGGCTTGGGGAGACAGCTCAGCAGCTGAAAGCCCTGTGGGAAACCCAGGGCTTACCCCGCCCAGGAAAGCCTCAGACCCCATCCTGTGAGGGGAAACCTTACACCCCTCACCCTCACCCGCTGCCGGTGACCCCGCCCCGGGAGAAGCCGGCTTCCGGACCTCTGGCTTCCGGCGGTGGCCCCGCCCCGGAAGGAGCCGGCTTCCGGCTTCTGGCTTGCGGACTTCCGGCACTGCCCCTCACCCGCCGTCTGTGGCCCCGCCCCAAAGGAGCTGACTTCCTGTCCTCCGACTTCCGGCGCTGCGCGCGCAGTCACTTATTCCCGCGGCTCGGAGGCGGCGGTGGCGCCGCGGGGCCCCTTCGGGCCGGTGCAGGCGCTGCCATTGCGGGAGCGGAGGAGGCGAGGTAGGAGTGGAGAGAGGCCAGGTGCTGCACAGGAAGGCAGCCCTCCCTCCCCCCCCCAGTTCCCAATCTAACCAGGAGTATAATAATTCCTTCCTGACCCCCACAGGGTTTGTTTCGGTGCAGACGGTGATCAAGTTGAGGTTGCAGTGCCCCCCCCATCTCACCCCCGGGCTGCAGGGGGGAGCCCGCGGAGTTGTTAACGGCCTATGGGTGGGGAAAGGTCAGGCTGGAAACGGGAGACGAATAAGACGGACTCAACTGGAATGCAGGCAGACACAGTGACGAACAGCACGGACGACGGTTATTAATCGGCACCCCCTGTTTCAACTTGTTGATCTCAGTTTTGACTCGGTGACATAGGATCGGACACGCCAGCAAGCAAGTTCACTGCGTCACACGAGCGTCTGTCCGAACGTCGTCAGGCGCTTTCTTGAAGAAAACAGACGAGACTCCAGAAAAACTTGAGGCCGAGACTCGCAAGAAGACTGGAAAGGTCTGGCTGAGTCAAAGAAGTCCTTCCAAATCCATATGATTGCAGTTTATGATATAAATGCATGCATGCAGCTGTGTATCCAGGTTGTAGCTGTATTGGTCTAGAGGAAAAGGC